GTTTGGGTTAGGTTGAGGTTGGATTGAGGTTGGGTTCGGTTGGGTTAGGTTGGGGTTGGGTTGGGGTTGGGTTAGGTTGAAGTTGGGGTTGAGGTTGGGGTTATGATTTGGTTTGGGGCAGGGTTAGGGTAGGGTAGAGGTTGGGGTTAAGATTGGGTTTGGGATTAGAATTAGGTTACGGGTTGGGGTTGAGATTAGGTTAGGGTTGGGTTAAGGTTAGAGTTAGGGGGAGGGTTGGGTTGGGTGAGGGTTGGGTTTATGATTGGGTTTATGATTGGGTTTGGGGTTAGATTTAGGTTAGAGTAGGAGGTGGGTTAGGGTTAGAATTAGGTTAGGGGAGGGGTTAGAGTTACGGTTGGATTTGGGGTTAGAATTAGGTTAGGATTGGGTTTGGGGTTGGGTTTGGCGTTAGAGGTAGGTTAGGTTTGGGATTAGGTTAAGGTAAGGGATTGGGGAGAGGGTTGTGTTGGGGTTAGAGTTAGTTTAGGGCAGAGTTTGGGGTTAGGGTTGGGTTTGGGGTTAGAGTTAGGTTAGGATTGCGATTGTGGTTAGAGTTAGGTTATGGTGGGGTCTAGGGCTGGGTTTGGGGTTACAGTTAGGGTAGGGGTTGGAGTTGGGGTTAGAGTTAGGTTGGGGAGGGGTTGGTGTTAGGGTTGGGTTTGGGGTGAGAGTTAGGGCAGGGCAGGTGTTGGAGTTCCCATAGCATTACTGTTGGGATTGAGAGTAGGGTTAGGTTTAAGGTTAGGGTTCAGGTTAGGGCTGGGATTCAGGTTGAGGTTAAGGTTGGGATTCGGGTTAGAGTTATTGTTGGGTTTGAGGTTGGAGTTAGGATTAGGATTAAAGATTGAGTTGGGGGTAGGGTTGGGGCTGGGTTAGGTTTGGGGTTAAGGTTGGGGTTAGGATTAGGGTTGGGATTAAGGTTGGGCTTGGGTTGGAGTTTGGTTAAGGATTATTGTTAGGATTAAGGTTGAGTTAGGTTCGGTGGGCTGGGAGAGCCCACATCTCCCCATGGCAGTGTGCAGGACCCAACCCCACAGCTCACAGAATAGATTCCGGGGGGACACGACCCCAAACCCACCTCACCCCCCCCATCCTTACCGGAGAGGATGTTGTGGAACGCCATCTCCACGTTGGTGGAGTCCAGAGCCGACGTCTCAAGGAAGGAGAGCCCATTCTTCTCTGCAACAACGGGGAGAGCTCATGGGGTGCAACCATTGAAGGGCTGAGGTTGGGGGGCACCTTAAAGCCCACCAGAGCTCATGGGATGCAACTATGGAACAGCTGACGCTGGAGGGCACCTTAAAGCCCACCCAGCTCAAACGTGAGCTGATTGTTCCCCAAAGATCAGGCCACCCATCACCCCATCCAACCCAATGACGGCACTGCCACACGTGCTGGGATCAATGGGGAGATGAATTTACAGAATCACAGAATTGCCAGGGTTGGAAGGAATCCCAAGGATCATGAATCTCCAACCCCCTGCCACACGCAGGGCCACCAACCTTCCCACCTAATGCCAGCCCAGGCTGCCCAGGGCCCCATCCAACCTGGCCTTGAACACCTCCAGGGATGGACGGGGCATCCACAGCCTCTGGGCAGCTGTTCCAGCACCTCACCGCTCTCATAGTAAAGAACTTCCCCCTGATGTCCAACCTAAATCTCCCCTCCCTCAACTTAAAACCATTTCCCCTCGTCCTGCTGTCATCTCCCCTTTCAAAGAGTTGATTCCCCTCCTGTTTTGGGGCTCCCTTTAGTACTGCAGGCTGCAGTGATTCACCCCGCAGCTTCTCTTCTCCATGCTGAACAAGCCCAGCTCCCTCAGCCTGTCCTCACAGGGGAGGTGCTGCAGCCCCTGCTCATCTCTGTGGCTCCTCTGGCCCCTCTCCAACAGCTCCCTGTCTTTCTTGTCCTGGGGCTCCACACTTGGGCGCAGTGCTGCAGATGGGGCTCACAAGAGCAGAGCAGAGGGGAACAATCCCCTGCCTGTCCCTGCTGGCCACCCCTCCTTTTACCTGCAAAGCTCCGGGCCTCGTCGGTGGGCACGGCGCGCAGGTGCCGCAGGTCGCTCTTATTGCCCACCAACATGACGACGATGTTGGCGTCGGCGTGGTCCTGCAGCTCCGTCAGCCAGCGCTCGGCGTTCTCATACGTCAGATACTTGGCGATGTCGTACACCAGCAGCGCTCCCACCGCCCCGCGGTAGTACCTGGGGGGCAGCGATGGGGCGGGGGGCGTCAGAGCCCAGGTTATGGGGCGCGGGAGCGGGGCGGGGGGGCACTCACGCGGAGGTGATGGCGCGGTACCGCTCCTGCCCGGCCGTGTCCCAGATCTGCGCCTTCACCGTCTTGTTGTCCACCTGGATGCTCCGGGTGGCGAACTCCACCCCGATGGTGCTCTTGCTCTCCAGGTTGAACTCGTTGCGGGTGAAGCGGGACAGCAGGTTGCTCTTCCCCACGCCGGAGTCCCCGATGAGCACCACTGGGGTGTAAGGAGCGCAGCGTCAGTCCCCCCCAGAGCATCGCCATCCAACTTGAGTGGGGAACCACCAGAGCACAACACGAGTGGGGACCCATCAGCCAGCAGGGTGGGTTATTGGGATCAGCCCAACAAGGGGCTGCAGGGGAGAACCCCATAAACACAGAAGGGGCTTCAGGGGGGAATCCCATAAACACAGCAGGGGGCTCCAGGTGGGAACCCCATAAACACAGTGGGGGGGCTCCAGGTGGGCACCCTATTAACGCAACAGAGGGCTCCAAGTGGGAACCCCATTAACACAAAAGGGGCTTCAGGTGGGAACCCCATAAACACAGCAGGGGGCTTCAGGGGGGAATCCCATAAACACAGCAGGGGGCTCCAGGTGGGAACCCCATAAACACAGCGGGGGGGCTCCAGGTGGGCACCCTATTAACGCAACAGAGGGCTCCAGGTGGGAACCCCATTAATACAGCAGGGGGACTCCGGGGGGGAACCCTATTAACACAGCAGGGGGCTTCAGGTGGGAACCTTATTAACACAGCACCACTGGGGTGTAAGGAGCGCAGCGTCAGTCCCCCCCCAGAGCATCGCCATCCAATTTGAGTGGGGAACCACCAGAGCCCAACACGAGTGGGGACCCATCAACCAGCAGGGTGGGTTATTGGGATCAGCCCAACAAGGAGCTCCAGGGGGAACCCATTAACACAGCGTGGGGCTCCAGGTGGGAACCCCATAAACACAGCAGGGGGCTCCAGCCCATCTCCAGCCCCGAGGGCACCCAACCGAGGACCCAAACTGCGGTCCGGATGCACCACCCTGAGCCGTAAGTCCCGGGGTGTGGGCCAGAGGTGAGCGCATTGTCGGCACCGTTCCCGTAGAATGTGGCAAAACAGGTTCTGGGACATTGCTCGTGTTCCTCCCCTGTCGGGTTTGTCGAGTTGGTGACTCACCGGGTTTTTGATTTTATTTACTTTTCATTCCCCAACTGCCTGTGTCATCGTCCTCCAACACCCAGATGCAATCGAGCCGGGATGGGAGGAGGGGTTTCACCAGGACTGACCCACAGCCCCCGCTCATCACAGCGGGGCCGAGCAGCCCCCCCCCCCAGCACGGGGACAGCGGGGAAATGGAATTCAGTGAGCAGCAGAAGGCACTGAAAGCTGTGGGGCGTTCGGGGAGACCCCCAGAACGGCCCTGGATAGGATGCCCGTCGGCAGGAGGAGCTGACTCATAGTGGGGAGGGGTCAACCCCGGTTGGTGCTGCTTGGAGGGGGGGAGGGGTTTGTTGGCTGCCCCCTGTCCCGATCCTGCTGCGAGTACCCTTGTGCTGCCCCATGGGGAGCGCCATCCCCATCTCCATCCCCAGCCGCATTCCTGTGTTCGATCCCAATCCCACTCGCATCTCCATCCCCAATCCAACCACAACTCCACCCCCAACCCAACTCAACCCCATCCCCAATCCCATCTCCATCCCCAATCCAACCACAACCCCATCCCCAACCCAACCCAACCCAACCCCATCCCCAACCCCATCTCCATCCCCATCCCCAACCCCAACCCCATCCCCAAATCCAACTCCGACCCCAATCCAGACCCCATCCCCATCCCAGTGTCCAAACTCCAACTCCAACCTCAACTTCAACCTCAACCCCTTCCCCAACCCCATCCCCGTCCCCCCACACACCCTTGAAGAGGAAGTCGTACTCCTCATCCTTGCCCCGCATCCTGCACAGTGCGGCGGCCGCACTGGGAACGGTGGCGATTTCCGCCCCGCTCCGCCCCGGGGGGCAGCCCCGCGCTCCCATTGGTCCCGCAGCTCTCTTTCCTCCGCAGCCATTGGCTGTCGGTGCCGCCCGTCACCGCCCAGGTGCTCACCTGGGGGCAGGTGGGGGGGGGCTGCGAGGTGGGAATGGGACGAGATGGAGTGGGGAGGAATGGGATGGGAACAGGGATTGGAATGGGGATGAGAGGGGGATACAATGGGGTGGGGATGGGATAGGAACAGGAATTAGAATAGGGATGGGAATGGGAATAAAGCTGGGGAAAGGGATGGGATAAGATGGAGTGGAATAGAGTCAAAAGGAATGGGATGGGAACAAGAACTGGAATGGGGATGGTAGTAGGGAAGGGATAAGAATAGGGATGGGAGTACAGATGGGGCTGGAGATAGGACTGGGATGTGCATAGGGATGCAGATGGGATGGAATGGGGATGGGAATAGGGTTTGGGATACGGATGGGATGGGAATACAGACAGGCTGCATGGGGGAAGGAACACATGTGGGGCTGGGCCGTGAGCCCAGGTGGGATACTGGGGACCACGAGCAGTCAGCAATCCCAGCCCAGCACAGCTGCCTTTCACAGTCCTTTAATGGCTGGGCACCGAGCCGCGCCGGGCGAGCAGAGGGACCGCGGGCTGCGTTCTGCTGTCGGACGGGCCCACGGCACACTGAGATGGGGACAGAGGTGTGTAGGGTGGGCACAGCTGCTTCCCCCGTTAGGGTTCTTTCTTAGGGCCCCGTCGGGCTCGGGATGCAGCGACCCCCGAGCGGTTCCCAGCGGGGATGGAGAGCGGCGGGGATGGGCGCATCCGTGGTGCGCGGCACAGGGACGGAGCGCGACGGCACCGCGGCAGCAACGGCACAACGGCAGCAGCTCCTGCAGCCGCGCGGCCCCGCGGAGAAGCAGCGGTGGCACTCAGCGCATCTGCGCCGCGGGGACGGACCGACACCGCGCAGAGCTGCGGCGGTGCTTCGCGCTGCTCACGGCAGAGCACGGCCGAGCTCCGGGCTGCCGCCGCGCCGGGACAACGGGCGGCACGGCGGGTCGGTCGCCACCCAGCTGTGCCGGCGGCTACGAGCCCCGGGACGAGCTCAGATGGCCACGCAGCACGGGCGCTTCTCTGCCTGCGCTGCGACCGCGCCGTCGGGGCTCTCGCTGCCGAGTGACACTGTGCTGCTTTGGCTGCTCCTCTGCTTCTGCTTCTGAACTTTGCTGAAGATCTCTGCGGAAACACAAAGCGGGGCCGGAGCCGCGTCTGAGTGGGGCACCGGCACGGCTCGGTGCTCGGCAGGCGCAGCGCTGGGGGTCCACTTCCCCTCTGCGCAGAGGGACGACGTGGAGGATGGCGACCGCTGTGTGGGGGGAAGCTGTTCTCCCTCCGGTTGCATCCCCACGGCCGAGGCGAGGGGACGGGGAGCGCCCTGCAACTTCCCCTGCTTCCCTCGGCTTCTCTCTGGCCCCGCGGGGATCAGGGCTGGAAGCTCGTGGCACGGCATAGCACAGGATGGCACAGCTCAACAGGGCACAGTACAGAACGTCAAAGCGTGGCACAGCACAGCACAACTCAGCACAGCATCGCAGCATGGCACACTAAGGCACAGCTCGGAATGCCATGCTGTGCCATGCTGTGCCTTGCCAAACTGTGCTGTGCCATGGCACAGCATGGCGTGACATGGCACAGCACAGCGTGGCACAGCACAGCATGTCAAAGCATGGCTTGGCACAGCATGGCACAGCACAGCACAGCATACCAAAGCATGGCACAGCATAGCACAACACAGCACAGCACGGCACAGCACAGCACACCAAAGCCTGGCACGGTACAGCACATCAAAGCCTGGCACAGCACGGCACAGCACAGCTTGGCAATGCACAGCATGGCATGGCACAGCAGGGCAAAGCATGGCACAGCACAGCACACCAAAGCCTGGCATAGTACAGCACATCAAAGCATGGCACAGCATGGCACAGCACAGCTTGGCAAGGCACAGCATGGCAAGACACAGCATGACATGGCACGGCACAGCACAGCATAGCACAGCATGGCATGGCACAGCAGGGCATAGCATGGCACAGCACAGCTTGGCAAGGCACAGCATGGCACAGCATGGCATGGCACAGCACAGCACAGCATAGCACAGCATGGCACGGCACAGCAGCGCACCCTGAGGTGCCCCTGCCCTACATTTCCATTCCTGGGGAGATGCTCCCAGCTGAGCATTGCCCCCCTCTGCCCCACATCCCTGCGGGTTGCTCCGCAGAGTGCTGGAGACACTGAGTCAGGAGCTCCTGCGGCACATCCGGACCGAGACCATGGATTACAGGGGGAGAAGGAGCCTGTGGTGCTGCCTGGGGCCCAGGCAATGAAACCAGAGCGGAACGCCCAGCACAAAGAGCCGGAAACCCAACCAGCCAGAAAGACAACACCGAAACCGGGCAGAGAGCTCAGGTGGGGCAGGGTGGAGGAGAGGCGGGGAGCATCCCCAGCACCCACCCTTCAGGACGGTCTCAAACGCCTGCTCGACGTTGGTGGAGTCCAGCGCCGACGTCTCAATGAAGAGCAGCCCGTTGTTCTCTGCAAGGACAGCGGTCCCAGAGACCTTGCAGACCCCACTGGGTTCCCTTTGGGGTCCCCAGGTCGGGGTGGCACAATGCCGTACCTGCAAACATTTTCGCCTCCTCTGTGGGCACCTCCCGCGCCTGCGCCAGGTCGCTCTTGTTGCCCACCAGCATGACCACGATGCTGGCCTCGGCGTGGTCATAGAGCTCCTTCAGCCAGCGCTCCACCACGTCGTACGTCTGGTGCTTGGTGATGTCAAAGACGACCAGAGCACCCACAGCCCCACGGTAGTACCTGGGGAGCAGCCCATCTTTGCCCCGTGCTCCAGGCAGCCTTGGAGCATCCTGACAGGGATGTGAGCATGGGGCATCCATCCATGGGGCAACCACTGGGATATGCGTCCATAGGGCATTCATTCATCCATGGGGCACCCATCCATGGGGTACTCAATGGGGCACCCATCTATGAGACACCTATCCACCCATAGGGCACCCATCCATCCAAGGAACACCATCCAACCAAGGGGCACCCAGTGGGACCTGAATCCATAGGGTACTCATTCATCCATAGGACACTCATCCATGGGGCACCCATCCATCCATGGGGCACTCAATGGGACATCCATCCATAGGATAACCATCTATTCATAGGGCACCCATCCATCCACAGGGCACCCATCCATCCATGGGGCACCCATCCACCCATGGGGCACCCAATGGGACATCCATCTATGGGGCATCCATCCATCTATAGGTCACCCATCCATCCATGAGGCACCCAATGGGACATCCATGCATGGGGCATCCATCCATGGGGCACCCATCCATCCATGGGGCATCCATCCATCCATGGGGTACCCACCCATGGGGCACCCATCCATCCATGAGGCACCCAATGGGCCATCCATGCATGGGGCACCCATCCATGGGGCACCCATCCATCCATGAGGCACCCAATGGGAGATCCATCCATGGGGCACCCATCCATCCATGGGGCACCCATCCAACTATAGGGCACCCATCCAACTATAGGGCACCCAATGGGACATCCATGCATGGGGCACCCATCCATGGGGCACCCATCCATCCATGAGGCACCCAATGGGCCATCCATCCATGGGGCACCCATCCATCCATGAAGCACCCAATGGGACACCCATCCATAGGGCACCCATCCATCCATGGGGCACCCATCCACCTATAGGTCACCCATCCACCCATGAGGCACCCAATGGGCCATCCATCCACGGGGTACCCACCCATGGGGCACCCATCTATCCACAGGGCACCCTCGGGTGCCATCCATCCTTACGCGGAGGTGATGGCGCGGTACCGCTCCAGCCCTGCCGTGTCCCAGATCTGTGCCTTCACCGCGGCGTCTCCCACCAGGACGGTGCGGGTGGAGAACTCCACGCCGATGGTGGTGCGGCTGTCGTGGTTGAACTCGTTGCGGGTGAAGCGGGACAGCAGGTTGGTTTTGCCCACGCCGGATTCCCCGATCAGAACCACTGAGGAGGGAAGAGAGACCCCACCGGACTTCAGATCAGCTCAGATAACCCTTCCCGGCCTCAACCAGACCCACCAGCACCCCACCGCTGCGACACTGCAGCACTGGGACGTCCCCGCTGCCACGGGGTGCACAGACACCCCTGGGAGCCTCATAGAAAAGAAAGAAAAAGGAGAAAAGCAGCCCCCTGCCCACCCTGCCCCCTGTGCCCGAGCAGGCCCAGGGATGGGCAGACAGATGGGTTCAGCCCCAGCACGGTTGATCCTTAAGCACACAGAATCCCCACCCCCATGCTGGGAGCTCTCAGTCCCTCTCGGGGGTCTCCATCAGCCCCGCACTGCTCAGGGTGTCCCAGCTGTAGGAGCGGGGTGAGGGAGCTGCAGAGCCACGGGGACATCGCTGCGGTGGCACCCAGGGCCCTGGGTTGGTGTTCCTCAGGGGTGGGCACAGAGCACAGGACGGCTGCAGCAGCCCCCCTCCTGGGCATCGCAGCAGGATGACTTTGGAGCCCGCTGCTCCCAATCTGCTGCTGTGGCAGCTGCAGATGTGTGTGTGTGTCCACCCGTGTCCCTTCTCTGCCTGCTGGTGGCTCAGGGTGGCTGAAGGTTCCCTGTACTTCCAGGTAGCACCCCAACCTGGCATGGGACGCCAGGCAGCACCCTGACCTCCCCACCAGCACTATGGGACACCAGGCAGCACCCTGACCCCATCAGCACCATGGGACACCAGGCAGCACCCTGACATCCCCACCAGCACCATGGGACACCAGGTAACACCCCGACCTCCCCATCACCACTATGGGACACCAGGCAGCACCCTGACACCACCAGCACTATGGGCAGCACCCCAATCCCACCACTATGGAACACCAGGCAGCACCCCGACCCCACCACCATGGGAAACCCCAAGTCCCTCCCAGCTATGGGACATGACTGAGGCCAGCATGTGCCCCCCCCGGTCCCAAGACCCTCTGCAGTGCCACATCAGCCACAAGCCCTGGTCCCACCCTGCTTTGGGAACCCACAGCCTGGGGAGGGGCACTCCGGAGCCGGGACCCCCCACGTCCTCCTGCCCCATCCTTCTGGGAACCGCCTCACCTTTGAAAACAAAGTTGTAGTCCTCCTCGGCACTGCTCATATCTCCCAGCTGCCGCCCGGTTTCCTCCTTCCCTCTGCCCCAGGTTTCCTCCTTCCCTCTGCAGAGCACGGAGCGGGGCGGGCTGCAGGGAAGTGATACGGGGGCAAAGTCTCCTCACTGCTGGGGTGTGAGCGGGGTCCCAGCAGGGGGTGGGGTCCCAGCGGTGATGGGGGTCCCAGCGGTGAGCGCGGTCAGGGAGCGAAGGCGACGCGGGCGGCGTTGGAGGAGCAGGGAGGCCCAGGCTGGCTGACTCCAGGCGTGGGAGCGGCGGCGCAGGTTGGGCAGGTAATGTCACCCCTGGGACCGTCACGGGGCACCCGGAGGAGGAGCCGAGCCCGGTCCTGGCTGCCAAGGCCACGCGGCGCAGGGCAGGCTGGGGCAGTGGGGCCCTGGGCTCAGCGCAGAGCTGGCCGGGCACCAATGGCCTTCCGCACCTCTGCTGGGAGTGATGGGAAGAGGGGGGAAGCAGCCCCAGCAGGAACAGCACTCCTAGCAGTGCTGCACCACAGACCCTCAGCCCGCTTTGCTGGGCGCACGACCGCCCCTGTCCCACCCTCACACCCTGCATTGATCTGAGAGAGACTCAGAAGGACACGAGCACCAGACGTGGTTTTATTCCCCCTTCCTCGCCGCCCAGCAGCACAGCCGGGCTCCCACCGTGGTTCCCCCCATGCAGGCGTTGCTGCTCAGCCGTGGCACCGCGGTTCCGTGCTCAGGATGCAGCTCAGGATGCAGCTCAGCTCAGGATGCGGCCACCTGCGTCAGCGGCTCCTCCAGGTACTGCACCAGCGCCTGCGCCTGCAGGCAGGGATGGGTGTTGAGGGGTGCTGAGCACACGGGGCCGCACCCCCCAGCACCCACACACCGTGGGCAAACCCCCGTCCTGCCCCAACACCGATCTGGGATCCGCGCAGACGCTTCTCATTTTGATTTAAATTTCACTGCAGAGCCTTAAAAAAGTGCAGCTTTGTGGCTGAGCTGGCGTGGGACACCTCAAAACCTCTGCACGGAGGAAGGAGGCATCGCCAGCATGGCCGCTTCCCCTAACGCTCCCATCCTCTTCCTCCCAGCATTGACCCCGTGGCTCTTTCATACCTTGCATGAATGCAGCCCCACCCCCCTCCCACCCCATCCCCTCACCTTGGCTTTCAGCATCCCAAATCCGACCGTTTCCTTGGCATACATGCACAGCAGGAGGTTTGCCACGCGGGTGATGGCCACGCGCCCCTCCTGCCCGGAGAGAATCGCAGCATGCTTGGGTTGAAGGGACCTCAACGATCATCTGCTTCCAACCCCACGCCGTGGGCTGCCCGCCCCCCCACTCCAGCTGCTCAGAGCCCCTCGGGCACCTCCAGGGATGGGGCACCCACAGCTCTGAGCAGCTCCAGGGCCCTTCTCACACCCCCCTGCACCCTCCTCCTTTCATTCAGACCCACACCATGTTCCCATCGCTCCCCTCCTGTTCCCAACCCCCGGAGCAGTGCACACTCAGCTCCCCCTGGAGCCCCTCCATCACAGAGCATCCCGGCCAGCCCCACTGCCACAGCTCCATGCCATCCACTCTGTGGATGCACTGCTCGGGATGGGGCCTCACAACGGCAGAGCAGAGGGGGATGGTCCCCTCTGTGCCCCACTGCCAGCCCCTGATGCAGACTGGGGGCTTCAGGCTCCGAGCACACACTGCTCTCACATCAGGTTTCCATGCAGCCCCATGGTGACCCCCAGCAGGCTCTCTGTGGGACCCCCAGGGTCTCCATGTGGGACACCCAGCAGGTTTCATTCAGGACCCCCAATGGGACCCCCAGTGGGCTCTGAGGTGTTCCCTAACAGGCTCCATGGTGACCCCGTGTCCCCCAGCAGGTTCCGTGTGACCCCCAGCAGGCTCTGTGTGGCCCCCAGTGGGCTCCATGTGGGACCCTCAGCAAGTTCCATGCAGGATCCCCAGGGGGACCCCCAGCAGCTCCATGGTGACCCCCAGCAGGCTCTGTGCAGGACCTCCAGTGGTCTCCATGCAGGATCCCCAGCAGGCTCTGTGGGACCCCTAACGGGACCCCCAGTGGGCTCTGAGGTGTTCACCAGCAGGCTCCATGTGAGACCCCCCCAAGGGCTCTGTGTGACCCCCAGCAGGCTCCATGGTGACCCCCAGCAGGTTCTGTAGGATCCTCAGCAAGTTCCATGCAGGATCCCCAGCAGGACCCCAGAGCACCAGGATGGCACTGAGCCCACTGGGGGTCACACAGAGCCTGCTGGGGGTCACATGGAACCTGCTGGGGGTCACACATGGTGCCTGCTGGGCATCCCACATGGAGCCTGCTGGTGAACACCTCAGAGCCCACTGGGGGTCCCGTTAGGGGTCCCACAGAGCCTGCTGGGGATCCTGCATGGAGACCACTGGGGGTCCTGCACAGAGCCTGCTGGGGGTCACCATGGAGCTGCTGGGGGTCCCACTGGGGATCCTGCATGGAACTTGCTGAGGGTCCCACATGGAGCCCACTGGGGGCCACACAGAGCCTGCTGGGGGTCCCGCATGAAGGCTGCTGGGGGACACAGGGTCACCAAGGAGCCTGCTGGGGAACACCTCAGAGCCCACTGGGGGTCCCACTAGGGGTCCTGCATGGAACCTGCTGGGTATCCCACATGGAGCCCGCTGGGGGTCCTGCATGGAGCCCACTGGGGGTCACATGGAGCCTTCAGGGAGTCCCACATGGAGCCTGCTGGGAGTCCCACACAAACCCCAACGGGGGTCCCACAGAGCCTGCAGGGAGTCCTGCATGGAGCCCTATGGGGGTCCCACGCGGATCCCAATGGGAGTCCCACACAGATCCTGCCATGAGTCCCACATGGATCCCTAGGGGGTCCCACACAGACCCCAATGGGGGTCCCACACGGATCCTGCTGGGGGTCCTGCATGGAGCCCAGAGAGGATCCCACATGGATCCCTACAGGGGTCCCACACGGATCCCAACGGGGGTCCCACAGGGACTGCAGGGAGTCCCACACGGATCCCTACAGTGGTTCCACACGGACCCCAATGAGGGTCGCACATGGATCCCAATGGAGGTCCCACATGGACCCCAACGGGGGTCCCACACAGATCCCAATGGGGGTCTGACAACGATCCCTACAGGGGTCCCACGGAGCCTGAAGGGAGTCCTGCATGGAGCCCTACGGGGGTCCCACACGGACCCCAATGGGGGTCCCACATGGATCCCTACAGGGGTCCCACAACGATCCCTACAGGATCCGCATGGAGCCTGCCAGGAGTCCCACATGGATCCCAGTGAGGGTCCCACACGGACCCCAACGGGGGTCCCACAGAGTCTGCAGGGAGTCCCACACGGATCCCTACAGGGGTCCCATGGAGCCTGCAGGGAGTCCTGCATGGAGCCCTACGGGGGTCCCACACGGATCCTGCCAGGAGTCCCACACGGACCCCAATGGGGGTCCCACATGGATCCCAGTGAGGATCCCACATGGATCCCTATGGGAGTCCCAAACAGATCCCAACGGGGGTCCCACAGAGCCTTCAGGGAGTCCTGCATGGAGCCCTATGGGGGTCCCACACGGATCCTGCTGGGGGTCCCACACGGATCCCTACGGGGCCCCACACGGACCCTAACGGGGGTCCCAGGCGGACCCCTGCTGTGAGCCCCGCGGAGCCCGGCGTACCATGCAGTCCATGAGGATGAAGCGCAGGTTGTCCTCGTTGAAGGCGTGGTGCCCGTTCTTGTCGTACGCCACCCAGATGTTGCTGGCGATGGCCGCCGTCACGCGGGCGTCCGTGTCCCCGTAGCCCGAGTAGGCCAAGAGCGAGCCCTCATTGTTCAGCAGCCTGGAACAGAGCGGCGCCGCCGAGCTCCCAGACGAGCTCGCTAATGAGCCCGCTAATGAGCCCGGTAATGAGCCCGGTAAAGACCGCGGGCTCACACCCCGACGTCCCCCCCCCCGCCGCCCCCCGGCCCCGCTCACAGCGTGCTCTGGACGCCGCCGGTGTTGGCCTGGCTCAGCACCTGCGTCAGCGCTTTGGGCCGCAGCATGGCAGCCCGCGGGGCGCGGCGGGGCGCGGGGCCGGCGCTCGGTGCAGGCGGGGCCGGCGCTCGGTGCAGGCCGCGGCGCTGGGCGGCTCGGCGTAACGCGGGCCGAGGTTCCGCTCCGCGCTCCGGCAGCTCTCGGTCCTCCGCGCCGCAAGGGGGCGCTCGCCGGCGACGCGGGCCGTGGCGGCGCTCTGTCCCCGCCTTTTTCTCTGTCGGCCCGGGCTGGCGGGGTGGGCGGCGAAGATGGCGGAGCCGAGCGGCGGCGGCGGCGGCGGGCCGGGCCCCGGCGGGCCGGAGCTGGGAGGTCCCGGCGGGGCCCTCATCCGCGTCACGGTGAAGACCCCCAAGGACAAGGAGGAGATCGTTATCGCGGACGGCGCCTCCGTGCGCGAGGTGGGGGCGGGACGGAGGATCGGGCCTAGGCCTTGGCGCTGAGAGGGGCCGGAGGGGAGCCGGGCCGGGGGTGGGCGGTGGGAGGGGGCGGGGGGGGCGGGGCG